GGAAGCCTGCTTCTCCCTCTCCCACTCCCCCTGCTTGTGTTCCCTCTCTCACTGTGTCTCTCTCTGTCAAATAAATAAAATCTTTAAAAAAAAAAAAAGACTAAACTGGGAGAATTCTGTTTTATAAAAGGTTATACTGTTGAGATGAGTATACTTCACAAAATGTAACCTTTGTTTCTGCCCTCTTCCCATCACCCCCTGGGTTAAAACAAATCCAGAAGTTGAAGTCTTAATCGACCACCTGGAAGCAAATCAGTCAGCAAGTCAGCTCAGTTGCAAGAGATGACTTCCTTGAAAGGGAAATAGCTTTTGGTCCTTTTATTTTCTTGTTTCTGGTAAAGGACCACATCTGTGTTTTGGGTTTGTTTTGTTTTTAATCTGTACCCTGCAGGCATTGGTGTTCTCTCTCACTGTCTCAGGAGCCAGTTCACCCAGGTGTAGTCAGAAGTGCCCTTGAATTCAAAGAGGGAGTCAAAAGAGTGGTGGGTCTTTGTTCATATTTGCCAGGAAGAGCTTCATGTGTGGGAACCGATTTTAACTGCCTGATTCTTTGACCAGTGAGGAAGAAAACATTTGCTCAAATATTCTTATTCATTCATTCAACAAATAATCACTGATATATCACACTTTATATATCAGTAAGATAACCATATACTTTATTGTCCAAACTAGGACAGTTTTGATGTGAAAGTGGATATTATGTTGTTGGTACACAAAGACAACAGGTATAAACCAAGATTTTTCCAGGTAAAACAGGATGTCAATGAGTGCCCTATATACTAACTGCTGAATTTGGGCTCTTAGAATCTTGGGTGGTTATATATTTTCCCAAAATGCCCTTAAAGATTGAAGAAAAAAGCCTGGATGGGGTCTAGACCTCCTAAGCCCTGCAGTATAAATGTAGTAGATCAAAGTTGAACTAGATATTTCTAAAATTTGCCCACAACTTCCTTTTTAAACTATACTTCTTGTTTAAAACAAACAAACAAGCTGCCTGGGACACTCTGGAAGCTAATGACAGCACAGCAGATTCTAAGTTCAGTTCCCCCAGGATGAGGTCACCTCGAAGAGGAAAAAAAGCTCAGAGTCTATAAAGGATGAAATTGCCCATGAGGGCTAAGTGATGGTGACATCTTTTGAGAAGGAAGTAAAACTGGAAGGAATAGACAAAAAAGTAAAATAAAATTAGAAGTTACAGAGGAGACAGGAACATGGGATTTATCAGTCTGCTTCTCTAACTTCAAGCTTTTTAACTGTGGTTATGATTTTGTGTGTGATGGTGAAAGACATAAACATGCACACTTCTTCCCCGGTGAAGAGCTTTGGTTCTGAAGTGATTTGTTTCTCTTCCATCCCAGGTGCCTGTCCTGAGACCCATGGACCTGATGGTGGAGGCCACCCCGCGAAGAGTGTTTGCCAACGCACACACATATCACATCAACTCTATATCAGTCAACAGCGACTATGAGACCTACATGTCAGCTGATGACCTGAGGATTAACCTCTGGAACTTTGAAATAACCAATCAAAGTTTTAGTATCCTTTCCTGGGGGCCAATAGCCAGTTGGCTTGAATCATAAGTATTCAGGTATGAGCAGACTTGGGGGGAAGTAGAAGAGAAAGAAGCCATCGCTACCACAACTCCTAGTGCTTGTGGAGGACTGTTTGTTCCCTTTTAAATTATGTTGGCATCCATCCTTCATCCTAACAAACTTAGAGAATCACTTATTGATGTAGTGGTCCAGGACTACGTCTGGGTTGGGACTCGGAGTCAGTTTGTTTGCACAGAGGCATTTGTGTGTCATGGATTCAAGTCAGTTGCAACTTTATCAACTATAAGATAAGACCCCAGAATTCAGTTAGGTTTCCTTCCTCGGGGTGAAAGGATTTGTAAATGGCCTATATGGGCAGCATGGACCGCAGGTACACATGAGATGGTTTTCATTGTATCAGCGTGGTGAAAATAATACTGGCTGCCATTTATTGAATTCCAAGCACTACAATAGGAACTTCATGCATTGAATCTCATTTTGAGAAGTGCACATATCATAATCTTACAGCTTGATGAATTTCCACAAAGCACATCTGTGTAACCAGCGTCCAGATCAAGAAACCAAGCTTTATTAGCAATCCTCACATCCCCATAATGCTTCCTTCTAGTCCCCATGCCCCAAAGGTATATTTGATATAACAACCCCCCTACTGTAAATATTACTAATAGCTAAAAATCCAGCGACATCAAGAAAATTATTGAATGAGTGTCTGAGCCAACATTCTAATTCCATTATAATGACCCTCTGTTTCATAATACAATATATACTACCTCTCCTGACTCCTCACTTAAATTCCCATTCTCAGGTAATGAGTTCTCTACCCAGGCAGCTGAGCGCCTGACCTAGGAGTCAGTATGGATTTTTTTCTCTCACTCACCAGCCTCCCTACCCCCGACCCAATCTATGAGCCCCACTAGTGCTTAGTCTGAAGTATATCTCGAATCAGCTCCTTGCTCTCTCTCCCTCTCCACTCCTGCTACCCTACTCGAGCATAGGCCACTATCCCCACTATCCCCTCATCTGCATGACTGCAATAATCTCCTGCTTATTCTCCCTTCTTTCTTGGTCTTCTACATAGTTCATGTTCCCATAACAGAATGGACCTTTCAGTATTTAATTCAGATTTCATTCTTCCTGTGCTTAAGACACTCTAGTAGCTTCCCAATGAATTTAGAATAAAATCCAAGTTCTTTACCTTGAACTATAAGATTCTCCATGATCTGGGCCCTTCCTTCCTCTTTGATATCCTATCGTATCACTCTCCCTGAAGTCACTCTGCTTCAGCCGACTCACCTCTTATCTGTTCCTAGATAAACCTTGTTCTTATGTCTCTTCTTTGTATTTGGTGTCCCCTCTTTCTGGAATACTCTGTCCCCGGAGTTCACGTGGCTAACTACATGTCATCATTCAAACTTCAATGTAATGTCACCTCCTCAGAGGCCATTTTCCCATTAACTGCCAAATAGCCACCAATAGCCCTCTAGCCCTCTTATCTTCACGGCGCATATCACTATTTGAAATTTTGTGTGTGTATATTTTAGATTTCCCCATATTCAAATGTAAATTCTATGAGAGAAGGGACTTTGTATGACCATTCTTGTATCTGAGTACCTAGAACATTCTGAGATACAGAAAATACCATTTTGGTTGGGCAGGTCAAGTTTGAAGTGCAATAGATCACTGAAGTAGAACTATCCAGTAGACAGTTGATCATGAAATTCTTTTTATAAGATTTATTTATTTAATGAGAGAGAGAGAGAGAACGAGCTGGGGGAGGGGCAGAGGGAGAGGAACAAGCAGACTCCCTACTGAGCGGGGAGCCTGACACAGGGCTCAATCTCACAACCCCAAGATCATGACCTGAGCCAAAACCAAGAGTCGGATGCTTAACCAACTGAGCCACCGAGGTGCCCCAGTGATCATGAAATTTAAGCAGGAAATTTCACTTAAAGAGTACGTTGGTTATAGTAAAGCTCTGAATGTTTTGATAAAAATAGACCACCTAGTGGCTCAAACACATAAAAGATGATTTCTGTTATTATAAAGTCCAGTAGGATGATCCCCACCAGCAAGCAACCTCCTCCAAACTGTGAATCAGAGAAATAGGTCCTTCCATCTTGCAGCTCCCCACTGTCACCAGCCTTACCTGCAGTCAAGACAGCAAAAGGAAGGATTGTAGAGAACCACACACAGGAGGCTCTTTTAGGCCAGGCCCTAAAATAGTATGAATTCCATTGGTTAGAAGTCAGTCACATGGCTACCTCTAACTGCAAAGCAGGCTGGGAGATATAGTATAGCTATGCGTGTTAAAAAAAAAAAAATTGACCTGGTTTTGGTACACAGCTAGCTCATCTCCACCACAGAAGAGTGCTTGATAGGGTGCTTGGTGGCTCAGATGATTAAGCGTCTGCCTTCATTTCAGGTCATGGTCCCAGGGTCCTGGGATCGAGTCCCGCATCAGGCTCCCTGCTCCTTGGGAGCCTGCTTCTCCCTCTGCTTCTCTCTCTCTCTCTCTCTCTCTGTCTCTCATGAATAAATGAATAAAATCTTTTAAAAAAAAAAAAGAGTGCTTGATAGTTGCCAAGGCTTTTTTTTTTTTTAAGTTTTTATTTAAATTCCAGTTAGTTAACTTACAGTGTAATATTAGTTTCAGATGTACAATATGGTGATTCAGCACTTCCATACAACACCCAGTGCTCATCACAAGTGCGCTCCTTAATTCCCGTCACTTATTTCACCCATCCCACACCCACCTCCCCTCCAGTAACCATTACTTTTTTCTCTGTACGTAAGAGTCTGTTTCTTGGTTTGCCAAGGCATTCTAAGGAAGGCAGCTTTAAGCAAGCAATGGCAGTGATCGAGGCACTAAGACCTGACCCTCAGGACCATGTCTGGCACCTCTTGTTATTCACAGAGCAGACTCTACCTACTATCTGAGCCTCAGAGAACCTGCCTACAGATTTTGCCTGGAAGTACAGCTGCTAATAGAATGAATATGGGTTGTGGTTCCCTTTCTCCCTTTACATCTTTTCCAAGAGCCAGGAATCTGCTCAGTCTCAGCTGCTGTCACTCTGAGCACCTGCTGTCCCCAGTCTAGGTGACATGTTTTCTGGATTTGCCTCTAGGCCTTCAAGAGGGAGGGGGGTTTCTTTAGGCGTTTTGGGAGACAGATGCCTTGGGGAGAATGCAAAGGGGAAATATTAATAGCACAATTTAGGTTATATTCTGCAGATGTGTGACAGCCTGCCAGATGCTGGCATACAAATGAGACTGTGCCATTCACCCTTAAAGCAGCCATATGTAAAATAATCATTGTCATCATGAGAATGATGATCACTGATATTGATATAGTTTTTTTCAACCAAACCGCCTTAAGCGCTGAGCTGATGGTACAAACTGGGACCCTTTTGCCTCTTGTCACTGAAGTGTAGCCACCTCTGGGGTAGGAAGCGGCCAGCTTTCAAAACACCCTCAGAAAAACACCAACCAGCAGGCAGCTCTTATTAAATCATACATTGTTTAGTTCCATTTCTATAATGCCTCTTATCCACTATGAAGGCTGAAAAACATGGTTCAGGATAGAATAATGTGGGGCTCCCAGAGCATGGTAGGAGTAGGGGTGGTAGTCAAGGTGCTTCTAAGCACTATGTGGACTTTTTTCATTTCCAAAATTAGGTATTTATGGTCATGACTACTAGAAAATACAGCTATCATATCAATTCTGATGATTTCATAGATGCTGAGAAATCCACTTAAATTACAAAGTAAGTATATGTAAAGAAAAGTAAATAGTAGGACAAGTGGTCTTGCAGTCTGGTTAAAAAATAAAGTCATGACTTCCACTGCCTGGCATTTGGTATGACACTGGCATTATGGTTGAGAACACAGGCTGTGGAGTCCTAAAAGTCCTAGTAGCTCTGAGAGTCCTAAAGTTCACACTCAGTTCTACCACTTGCTGAGTATATAAGCTTTAACATGGTTCTTAATTTATCCACTCTCTGTTTCATGATCTTTAGAGAGGAGCTTTATCGCAGAGGATTGTGAGAATTTTTTAAAAGATTATATTTTATATATTCATATTTAAAAGATTATATTTTAATATGTATATGTGGATAAATTTTATATATACAATTGACCCTTGGACAGCATGGGTTTGAACTACATGGGTCCACTTACATGTAGATTTTTTTTTCGATAAATGCAATACAGTACTATAAATGTATTTGTCTCTTCCTTATGATATTCTTAATAATGTTTTCTTTTCTCTAGCTAACTTTATTGTAAGAATATAGTGTATAATATATATAGCATACAAAATATGTGTTAATCAACTTATGTTATCAGTAAGGTTTCTGGTCAACAGTAAGGTATTAGTCATTAAGACTTAAGGGAGCCAAAAGTTATATGTGGATTTTTGACTGCATGGGGGTCACTGACTCTAGTCCCCACATTGTTCAAGGGTCAACTACATATAAAATATATCCATATATACGTACATACATGTACATATACACACATAAACATATATGTTTAGGCCAATACTCTGCTAAATGAATGACAAACAGGTTTCAAAACAAGAATGATTATCATGGAAAGGACAAGGAAACTAAAAAAGTTGAATGTTAGTATAGTGGATTCTATTCTGCTGAATTCATTATCTGGGTCATCTTCTCCATTCTAGACTCCTCCTCTGGTTTTGCAGTTGGGTGCTCTTTTCACGATGTTGTTCATTAGTTACCTAGTTACCACATATTTGCAGGGTCTCTGAAGTCCAGGGCCTTGTGTTTAACACCAGATCAGATTGAAGCTTTCCTGGCCTCCTGACACCTTGAATCCTCTCCCTTCCCTCCATAGCCAGTCTGTCCTTGTCTTATGTAACAGGTTCTGTCTTGAAGTGGTCGAACTTTGGCCTTAATGGGTTAACCACTTTAGGACAGTAATAACTCATTTCTAGATTAGTGATTTTCTAGGGCAAGAAGCAGCCCTAACTTTTCAAATTAGTTTTCTCTGGTATACTTAGGATCCTT